CCAATGGAGCCGGGAGTCCCGGCCCCTTGTCTCTGGGCGGACGGGGGCAGCGGCCCCTACACCACGCGCTGGATCACGTTCTTGTACTCGGGCCCCCTCGTGCGCTTCAGCTGCACCACGGTGGAGAAAAGCCACTTCACCTGCAGGGGAGAGAGAGCAAGGGTGAGAGGGGTCAGCACTGGGAGGAACTGCTCTGTCAGTCTGTCATTCCTTCCTGCTTTTATGTCTGTGTCTCATTCATTCAGTCTGTGTCTTATTCACCCATTCTTCCTTCTCCTTCATTCTTCTCTTCTTTCTTTCCCTTCCATGCTGCCCTCTGTGCTGAACTCATTCATTCCTTCATTCCTACATTCATTCTCTCTCTCTCACCTTGAACAGGGTCACGGTGGCGCTGTAGCACACGCTCAAGAGGAAGAGGGTGATGAAGACCGAGATGGTGGCCCAGAGGCCGTCTAAGTCCTCGTCGCCATCCTCACTGCAAAACTCACCTGACACGATCACCTCTGTTGGGGGGAGAGAAAGAGACATCAACTCTGACTCAGCCACTGTGACAGAGAGAGTTTGGACTGTGCGTCCAACACCAACCTGCCTATTCCCTTCTCTACCCATCCTTCCATCCCTCCAGTCATCTATCTCTGGATACATCCATCCATCCCTGACCCCAAACCATCCATCATTCCATCCCTAGACACACCCCTCCTTCCATTCATCCATCTCTAGATGCATCCATCCATTCGTCCATCCCCACTCACCCCTCCATCCATCCCTGACCACAAATCATCATCCCTAGACACACCCCTCCATCCATCCATCCCCACAAACCATCCATCCGTCCATGCTTCCACCGTCTATCTCTAGACACCTCCATCCATCCATCCATCCATCCATCCATCCATCCATCCCTGACCACAAACCATCATCCCTAAGAACATAAGAACATAAGAATGGTCATACTGGGTCAGATCAGAGGTCCATTCAGCCCAGTATCCTGTCTACCGACAGTGACCAATGCCAGGTGTCCCAGAGGGAGTGAACTTAACCGGTAATGATCAAGTGATCTCTCTCCTGCCATCCATCTCTGCCCTCTGACAAACAGAGGCTAGGGACACCATTCCTTACCCATCCTGGCTAATAGGCATTAATGGACTTAACTTCCATGAATTTATCTAGTTCTCTTTTAAACCCTGTTATAGTCCTAGCCTTCACAACCTCCTCAGGCAAGGAGTTCAACAGGTTGACTATGCGTTGTGTGAAGAAGAACTTCCTTTTATTTGTTTTAAACCTGCTGCCCATTAATTTCATTTGGTGGCCCCTAGTTCTTATATTATTGGAACAAGTAACAACTTTTCCTAGACACACCCCTACATCCAGCAATCTATCCATGACCACAACGCCCCCATCCATCCATCAGTCCATCCCTAGACACACCCCTCCATCTATCCATCCATCCATCCCCACAAACCATCCATCCATCCAGGGCCGGCTCTGGCTTTTTTGCCGCCCCAGGCAAAAAAGCCTCCCGCCGCCCCCCCCTCACGGGGAGCGTGGCAGGAGAGGGCGCCGAGGCCGGCCGCAGGCCCGCTCTCCCAAACTGGCTGGAGTGCCAGGGGGAGGGTGGCGAGCCCGCTGCGACTCCGCTGGCGGCTGGAGCGCTGGAAGGAGGGCGGAGAGCCCGGCCGGGGCTCCGCTCTCCCCGGCGGCCAGAGCGCCGGGAGGAGGGTGGCGAGCCTGCTGCGGCTCCGCTCTCCCCGGTGGCCGGAGTGCCGCGGAGAGGGCGGCGAGCCCAGTCGCGGCCCTGCTCTCGGGCCGGAGCACTGCACCGCGCCGCCCCCCTCCAGGTGCCGCCCCAAGCACATGCTTGGTGGGCTGATGCCCGGAGCCGGCCCTGCTTCCATCCATGTCTCCACCGTCCATCTCTAGACACATCCATCCATCCATCCATCCATCCATCCATCCATCCATCCATCCCTAGTCGCATCCCTCCATCCATCCACCCACGCTGCCTGCTGTGATGAAATGAAGGATGTAGAGCCTCCCAGGTCTCATCTCACTCATCCCATGTGACCGTGGCCCTACACCCTGGCACTGAAGCTTGGCCGCCTGTTGAATTTCTCTGTGCCTTAGTTTCTCTGCCTGTGAAAGGTGGCTCAGGATCCCTCTGAGGTGTGCGAGGTGCTGGGATGCTGCCATGGTGGGGGAGCTCCCTAAAGACCAGGATGGATGGATTTCACACATGTGCCTCTATGACCCTGCTCCCAATGTAACGAAACACCCAGGAGTCACTTCAGATGGAACGCAGCCACCTCTGGGCCTGTTTATACCGGGCTCTCTTGCCCAAGTGCAGCCGGTAGTTGCCTCGGCTGAGGGATGTGGGGAGTTTGAACACTGTCACTTTTATGAACAGAGCCACAAGTATTTTAAGGATGGGATCTAAGGTCTCTCTGACATGAAAGATGCTGCTCCCTGAGCATGGTGCCCCCTACTGAGCCCCCTGCCCAAGGGATGTCTGGAGAACAGGCGCATGGATCTGTGTGGGTGCATGTTTGTCTCTCTGTGTTGTGTGTCTCTCTGTGTGTACAAACACGACAGCCCAGGTGGGAGGGTCCCTGGGTCATGCCATGTTACAGGTGTGTCCAACTGCACTGGACTGAGCTCTCTCTCAGCCACCCTCCCCACTCTCCTACTCTGTGTGCCCCTGCGCTGCCCCAGGATAACAGCCCTAACACTGCCGCTGCAGGCTACCCACTCTTTAATGCCAGGTGTGAGCTCTGTGCTTGGTACTGGTGGGTTTGATTCCTGCACTCGCCCATCCGGCTTTGGGGCTAATACACACATGCGGGGTGGGGGGAGGTGTGTGAGTGAGGGGCTGGGTAGGAGATGGGGCATCTGCATCATCTGTCCCACCCCACTGCCTGGGCCCCCTATGTCACCAGAGCTAGTGAGACTTTAGGTGAGTCCCTGCTTAGTGTCTGCTCCAGATTACAGCCCTACTACTGCTGCTACTTTGTGGGGACTGAGTTCCAGGAGCTGATCCCTGCTGTGGGGTGTTTGCTGTATGTTGTCCTATCTCCCCCCACCCCAGCTGCCACTGCAGGTAAGGGGTGGAAGGAGACCCCTTAGCCTTCTAGCCAGCAGAGAAAGTTTGTGTGGGGGTCAGGGTATTTGAATTGCCTTCTCCCCACTGACTCTGTCTGGAAAATCCCCATGGGGCATCTACTCCTCTCTGAGGTAGAAGGGATTGTAGGGTAAATGCTGATACTGATACGGTGCCCCCCGGGTATGCATGGGTTATAGCCTAGAGAGGATCTCACCTCAGTGAAATGCCAGGGATGGCTTGACCATCCATCGATCCACCTACGCACCCAGCCATCCCACGCTCCATCCATTCTTATCTCTAACTATCCTCCATATCTTCCGTCCATCCATATAGATCTATACCCATCCATTCTCCTATCTCCCCATCCATCCATCCATCCATCCATCCATCCATCCATCCATCCATCCATCCATCCATCCATCCATCCATCCATCCATCCATCCACACATGCAACCCCATCCACTTATCTATCATCCCTTTATATATTATCCATACCCAAACATCCATCACCATATGTCTCCATTAACACACAGTCGTCCATCCATCCATTGCCATATTCACCCATCCGTTCATCCTCATCTATCTATCACTCACCATCAGTACCAGCCCATTCATCCATCCATCCATCCCCATCCGTCGCCATCGGTACTGATCCATTACCATATGCACCCGCCCATCCATTGATTCATACATCCATCTGTCCCAACCCACCCCCATCTCTAGCCATCCATCTATCGCAGTCCATCTATGGCCATCCATTTATCCATCCCTTCATCCTTCAGAACGGGTACCCCTCCAACCTTCACCATAGATTTATCCATCCATCCCCATCCACTTATCCATTGGCACCGCACCTGCGAACCATCCAGCCATCCTTCCCTCAGTGCAGCACAGTCTAGTGGGACTGGGTGGGACTCTCAGAACACCTGGGTTCTGTTTCTAGCTCGGTAACGGACGTGACCTTGGGCAGGTCCCTTTCCCTCTTGCTGTCTGTTTCTACTCCCTCTTTCTCTATTTAGGTGTGAGCCCTTTGACACAGGGACTGTCTCTCACGGTGTCTGTGCCATACCCAGCCCAACAGGGCCCTATCTGAGTTGGGGGTGGAGGTGCTACTTTAATCCAAATAAGAATCTCTCTCTCTCTCTGTAATATCTGTTGGTCTATGAGTCTTTCCCTCTGAAGTATGTATGTATCCATCTAACCATCTCTCTGAATACCT